CCCAGGGCACACCAAGGACACTGTGTCCCACACATGAGAATTACCTGTCATGGTCACTGCAGGCAGGAAGCAGGCTGAGATCCTTTGGATGATAATGATGGCTCTGCCCAAGCTTCTATGTGGCCAATAGGCCAGACCTGCCTGATTTTCACATAGACTGATCAGCCTATGAAATCACAGGAGTTGGTCTCCGGTTTTACAAACATACCCAATTGGGTCAGAAGCAAATCAGGAACACGGCAAGGTTTGAAGGTTGCCTACTGAGAATGGAAAATGAGAAGGCATACAGAGCAGGACACTGAAGTCTAGGATTTCCAAAACACTGCCTTTCCAAGGCTCCAGGGCTTGAAATTGTGTGTTCTGACTCCCATCTTGACTGTGTTCATAAAGGAGATCACCGCTAAGTCTTATGAGTTATTGCTAACTTATTCTGATTTGTATATCAAATGCTTTTAAGAGGGGAGAGTTGAGCGGACTGAGGGCATGGGATTGAGGGGTGGTGAGCATGAGGGCATAAGGACACTGGCTGCTTGAGGGGGAAAATGAAGAAGGAAAAGTGCCCAGTGCAGGGTTGGGCCCAGGGCCAGAGTAGAATGTGTGGTTAGCTAATGGGAGAGCCCATAAGCTGGGAGAGCAAAGAAGGCATCCTGGATGCCCCAGCACAGCTGGGAGCCATGTGGCCTCTCTGGGTCAGGGTCAGGAGCACATGCAGACTAGTAATCTGAGGGTGGAGGGAGAGATACAGAGCATCTAGCTCTGCAAATAACAGCTTCCAGGGAAACTGCTTCATGTGAATGTTCCATTGAATGCAAGCTGCTATCATTCCATCAGTCCTGCCTGCTAGGTCAGCAGTGCCTGTCCCAGAGTCTTTGAAGGCAAAGCCAGGCAACCCCAAAACAGTACTAACAAACACGTGCAAGGCATTTCACAGTATAAAGAGGGTTTTCAGATATGTTATCTCCTAAAAGCCTCACAACACCCTCTAGGAAGTCTGTACTCAATATTATTTTTCTTTTGCAAAAGAAGAAACTGAGGGTCAGCAAAGATAAGAAACTATGAACAGACCTTGGACCTCTAACTCCAGGCCCAGTATGTTTTATACCTTTGCTTCTGAAAGTGTGGCCTATGGACCAGCAAGATGAGACTACCCTGGGAGCTTGTTAGAAATATAGAATTTCAAACACAGACCTAGTGAATTAGTGTCTGCATTTTACCAAGATTCCTCGCAATTCACATTTTATATGCACATTAAAATTTAAAAAGCACTATTTCTACCACATCAGACCACCACTCATCAGCACCTAAAGAATTGCTTAAGTGATACACTCTTGGAGGGTCTAAGTATTATAGACTGGAAAGAACCTCTCAAGAGTACAAGTGTGCAGTGGTGCACACCTGTAGTCCCAGTGATTTGGGAGGCTGAGACAGGAGGAGTGCAAGTTTGAGGCCAGCCTCAGCAGCTTAGCAGGGCCCTAAGCAACTTAGCGAGACCCTGTCTCAAAAAGGGCTGGGGACATAGCTCAGTGGTTAAGCACCCCTGGGTTGAATCCCTAGTACCAAATACAGAAAAAGAGTACATAGGCATACCCCATCACAGCACAATGGAGCAGGGACGAATGTTGAAAGCACATCCCTAAGGCAATTGAGGGAGGGGAAATATATATATATATACATATATATATATATATATATATATATATATATATATATATATATATATCCTTTTGACTACCTTATACTTGCCCTCTTGCTTTTTGTTTTCATATTCATATTTGATGTTTTTACCTGGGATTCTGTTGAAAATCAGGCTTTCTCTGCCAATTATTACAATTTAGACTAATAGTAAATATCACTACATCTTCTGAACACATGTTAATAGAGAATGGAAACAAGAACAGATGTAATAACGGCCTTTCTAGTTTGCCTCCCTTCCCATCTTTTATCCCTGTGGTTCACTCACATGATAGGGAGCTGCAGAAAACCAGCCTGGTATGAAAGATTAATCTAGATAATCTGGGACAATCATTGAGTTGGTAATAAATATGTATTAGATGTAATAATATGTGGAGAGATATATTTAATAACAAGGTGTAGAGCACTATCTATGTATCTGCAAGGATGCAGGCCACCGGAAAAGTGTGCCTATCCAGCACAAGTTCAGGGCTTTGGCAATTTTCTGGTTAATTTGCTAGGTATAGGTGGCCAAACCAGACAATTCAAGCCAGTGGGAGATTTTTGTATCTAAATATTCTGGTTTGGCTGTCTTCATTCATGAAGTTAACCTGATACTTGCCCAATGACTGCCTCATTCATGTTCTATGAAGGGGAAAGAAATGTAAGTGAACACGTTTTAATATGTGCATGTACATGTAACTCAGATTTGTTGAGATGAGATCATATGGATTTTCACATTCATCCCAAGAGTGATTCCTATAAATATTTCTAGGGATGTTTGGGATGAGAATGGCATTAGACTTTCTTCAAGTCACCTCTGGCTGTTAAGTTCCTGCTTTTGTGGACAGCACATCTTTGCATGTGTGTGAAAGTACAGCTATGATGGGTGATGTCTGGGAGACTTCAAGTAGAAAGTCCAGTAGGAACTTTTTCTGGAGGGATGGGCTGCAGTAAGAAACATGGGGCTTCTAGCTTATGGGTAGTGTCTAGAGCCAGGAAAACCCAGAACCAATTCCAAGGAGCACTTGTATTAGAGTCACTCTGAGGAGGAACCTGCCAAGAAGTCTGAGAAGGACCTGGTATTAAGGAGGAAAGAAGCCCGCAAGGAGAACACCATGGGGAACCCAGGTCACAGAGGGCCTCAGATGGAAGGCAGCCAAGCTGGGCTGCTGAGAGGGGCAGACACAGCAAAGAAGTGTTCCTGAGATTTGACAGATTGAATATGAATAGTTGCAGTACAGTGTTGGTGTAGGTGGTGGGGGCAGAAGCCAGTCTGGAGGGTAAAGGAGAAAATGGCTGGGGGTTGGGAAGCAGAAACAGCCAGTGTCCCCTCTCTTGTGAGGAGGGCAGTTGTGAAAGGATCAGAGCAATGAGGCTGGCTGGCAGAGGGCATGGATCTTGGAGAGGGACACTTTGAAAGGTGAGAGGTAGAACATGCTGTGTGCTTCTGGGAATGGCCTGGGAGATCACTGAAAAGTGCAGATGGGAAGGAGAGCAGGGTTAGCCCTCTCCTCAGATGCCCCTGTCCTCTCTACCTTGGACCTGGCCCTGGGCCCCAGCCCCTCCCTAGGCTGGATGGAGGGGAAGTGCCAGGCCCTCAGGTGGAGGAAGCCCTGCAGGGAGGACCCGCCTTTGCTCTGGAAATAGAAAACCTATGCTGGTAACTGAGTAACTCCTGGAGAGGGGGGCAAAGGCACTGGCCGGGTCTGAAGAAACAAAAATAATCTGTTCCGCTTGGGCAGTGAATCGGATGTGGGGGGTGCAGTGCCCTGACCTACAGGGCCCAGAATGGCTCTCCTCAGTCTTACCCTTCCACTGGCTGGGAGCAATGGTTTCTAATAGAGCATCACCAAGAGGAAGTCATGGGTTCAGTGCTCAGGCTGGCAAGGTCCATTCCTCTGCCCCATAGCCACCTGCTCCAGTGGTCGAGTCCATTGCTCAGACAGACCAACAGGGCCCCTCTGAGCCCCTGCCACACAGAGGAGGCCTATTCATGGGAATCCAGAGGCAGCTCCCCTACTCCTCAATCCTACTTCCTTCTTCCTCTCTGATGACCCCTGCAGGTCAGCCTCAGCTTTCTTCCCATCCCCAGGAAGTAGGCCTTGGTGGCAACCAGCCTCTCAGGTGTCCCTCTCCTGAGGTCCAAACATGAACCATATCTGCCCCGAAAACACACAACTCCACATACCAGATTACAAGTTTCTCACAGTGGTGCTGGGTTTTTTGTTTCTTGTTTTTTCTTCTTCTTTTTTTTTTTTAACCAGGGATTGAACCCAGGGACACTTTACCATCGAACCACATCCCCAGCCCTTTAAAAATTTTTTTATTTTGAGACTGGGTCTCAGTAAGTTGCTTAGGGCCTCACTAAATTGCTGAGGCTGGCTTTGAATTTAGGATCCTGCTACCTCAGCCTCCAGAGTCGCTGGGATTACAGGTGTGCACCACCACACTCAGCGATGCTAGTTTTCTAACAGCATCTTTGCATCCATTGAGTAAGTGGTTAGTTTTGAGTGTAAAAGCTGGTGGGCAAGGATTGGGGCCTTCTGGCTTTGGGCTTCAGCACCACCAACTTTCCTTACCTGGAGCTGGGGCTCCTGCTTCCCTTTCTGCTTCTCCTTCTGCCCCCAGGTTTACCTGTCAAGTCACAGGGAACAGAGGAACACCTCCTTCAACAGCAGGTGATGACAGAAGTCAGTGAGGCCCTGCTTTGGGTTCATCCCTAGGCAGGCCCTCCTCCCCCACAGGGAGGACAGCTGGGCTGTGAGGGAAAGAAAGTGCCAGGCCAGTGGAGGGGGGTTGGGTCCTGCTCTCCTGAGCAGGAAAGGAAGGATAGTCATTGACCCAAGAAGTTTCCATGAACTCTGGCCATGAGGGAGAGAGGAGGGGAGGGGTCACTAGGAGGCTGGGCTTGTTCAGGAGGAGGGAGAAACCTCACAAAGTTCTAATTGTAAAACTTCTAATTGTATCCCACAGTAAACAGACATACTAGACCTGCCGTGAGGAAGGAGAAGGGCTGGGAACCGCATGCCACCTGGGCATAAGAGAAATTGGAGGTGTCTGGAGCAAAGGGAATTGGGGCAAGACGAGAAGGGATGGCATGCTCAGGAAGGCCCTGCTTTCAGGGCCTCCCAGTCGGAAGCTCAGATTGCTGATAGGTAAACCGTGAGTGGAGAGAGAGAAGGGGTCACCGCTAGTCTAAGGAAGTTCCAACTACTGCTGACTCAGCCACCTCCCCTCTCCCCACCCTCAACCCTCCCTCTCAAGCTGATGGGAACAAAGACTCCGAGAGTTTCCAGTTATAAAAATCCAGAAGGAACAATCAAGAACAAAGATCAAGGTCTCAGATTTTCCATGACATTGGTACGGGGCGGGGGCACCATGCCTATCTGGCACAGTCCCCATCCCCAATGCCCTCTGGGAAGCAGGAAACTGCCATCTGGGCATGGGCAGTGCCAGTTAGCATGACACCTCCCTTGGGTCAGCCTGGGTAGGAGGCGTGCTCACTGCCAGGCCAGAGCCTCCTATGCTCAGGGTCCCTTAAGGCCTAATTCCTCCCAACTCTGAGATCAGACAGCCTCAGAGGCCAAGTGCTGGGAGGCAAGGAGCTCACCCCGAAGACCCCAGACCCTCAGCACTCTGAAGAAGTCACGGTGAGGAGGAGAAGGGCAGGGGGACTGAAGACATAGGACAGGTAGAGGAAATGTGGACTTTGGGTGGGTGGAGCTGTAGGGATGGTGAGAGGGGCAGAGACCTGAAATCTATTTGTAGGAGGTCAAAAGGCAGCTGGCTCAAGGGTGGGGCTGACAGTCTGGAACCAGTCTTCTGGTCCTCCCCCATTCCCTTGGCACTCCTACTGTCTCAGCTTCTGGAAGACTAGGGGAGCTCGGACACAGGGAGGTGAACCCACCCAGTTAAGCATACATACACTCATTGAATGGAATGCTCTTTAGCTGTTAAAAGTGAAAGAAATCCACTCATACTGATGGTGAAGAAGAAGAAAGTATATTAAATGGGGGGGGGGATGGTGAAAAAGGCTGTAGATCCTGAAATCGTTGTTAAAAATAGACTCAATTCCACTACATTTGGATATGTATGTCTAAATAATGTAACTATATATTTCAATGTGCTTAGAAAGAAGAATAGAAGGATAAGTGCTAAATTAGAAAAAGAAATTATAGCTGAGATTTGGGTTTGAATCAGGAGAGACTTTGATATTTGAACTTTTTATAATAAGCTCGTACAGTTTTATAATTTAAAAGATAAAGAGGTGAGGGTGGGTGAGATGGTTCAGAACAATGCAAGTCTGTAGCCTAAGCCAGGCATCTGCACACACACACCAAGCACACCTGCCCGACAAGGAGAGCACACCTGGTAAATCTGGCAAAGCATGGGAAACACCTGGCTCAGGCACATACCCATAGTCCTGGGTTCCCTTGGCTTATGCCAGCCCAGGCCCAAGGTTCTCTCTAGGCATAGATCCCATCCCAGATCAGCCCCAGCCCCTGTGCTTCCCAACCTCCCATTTATTGCCCTGTGCCTCCTCTATTCCTAACCAGGTACTCACAAAGCAATACCCTTGGGAGCCTAGAAAATCAACAATGCTGAAGGGAGGCACCAGCCTGGCCATGAAGATGGTCTCCTCCTTTCTAGGGCACTGGGATTCCTGTCTCCACTGCTATGGATGGCCCAGGGTTTCCTGTGGATTCTTATTTGAGCAAGGGACCACTCCAGGACATCAGCCAATCCAAACTATGACCCTGCTTCCACCATTTACTTGGAGGCTGGCCTTGGACTAGTTATTTTAACCTTTCTAAGCCTCAGTTCCCTCATCTGTAAGATGGGAATAATAAGGCCATTGTAAAACTCAAAAGCTGATAATATCTAAGGAACTCTAAATGCTTCGGAAGATAAACAAGGAAATTACGATTATGGGAGTCAGGATACCAGTTCTTTCTGGGGTAAGGGATGGGGCTGGAACCAGAGGTGACAGGAACTTCTGGGGTGCTGGAAATACTCTACTTTGACCTCACTGTAGAAACACAGGTGTTTGATTTGTACTTGTTTATTAAACTGTCCATATGTATTTAATACACATATGATCTGTTTCACAGTAAGAGGAGAAAAGGTACGTACTTTGGAAATTTTCATGCTCAGTACAAAGTAAAATGGTATCGGGCAGTGCAGAATCCCATTTTTGCACCCTCTGAGGCTCTCCAATTTGCCTGGTTTCCCTGGGGAATGGAAGAGGGTGGAGAGCAGCAGGGCTGTAGTGTGAATTAGCAAGGCGGCAAGGATCTGCTAAGTACAGATTTCAGGCAAAAATTCAGACCAATGTCGTTTTCCTTGCTGGGGGATGCCTAGCAGGGCAGAGGTGCCTAAGGGGTGCAGATCACTTGGGGAATTTTTTTTTTTTTTTTTTTTGTGGTGCCAGGGTTGGAACCCTGGGCCTTGAGCATGCTAGGCAAGCACTCTAACACGGAGCTATACCCCCGGGCCCACTTAGGGAAATTCTTGAAGAAGGCTGTCAATACACTCAGAAGAGCTTTGCCTTCCCCAGGTCTCCCAACCCCCACCCCTGCCCATAGACTTCTGGGAGCAGCAGGCCCATCTTCCCACCCTGACTTCCTGACTGGTATCATCCTCAGCCCTGCCAAGCTGCCTGGACCCTGGAAGGCCTCGTTGCCACACCTGCCCACCACTCTGTAGGCTCCAACAGCGTGACCCCTTCCTGGTCCTCAGTCCAGCACCTTTCTGTCCCACTGACATCCCTCCTTGCTCTGGCTCCACAGTCTCCCCACAGTGCAGAGGAGGGAACCCCCAGGAGAAGCCAGGACGTGGAGGTCAGGCCCTCCCTGCCGCCCAGGCCCAAGACCCCATGCTGGGCCCCCCCAACGCTGGCACCAGGGATCCCTCAGGGCTGAGCCCACCCTGCCATCAGAAGCCACAGGAATGTCCATGTGGGCCTGGCCAGGGCACTGCTGGTGACCGTCTGCTCCCTCCCTCCAAGTCTGACTTTCTCCCTGTCTCTCTCTGACTTGGCTTTTGTTGGACTCTGTGATTTAGCTTCTCTCCTGTCCTGAGTTTTCTGTGACTCTCTATCTCTACAATCTGCCTCAGCCACACAGGACAGCATGAATCTTCCTTCTGCGTGTGGGGTGTCTGGGGGGCCTCCCGTCCTGGCTGTCGCCTGTCCTGCTGCCAACCCTGGAGCTCTCTGCCCAGGCTGAGGGGACGATTCCTCAGAAAGCTCCAAAGCCTGAGGGCTGCAGTGGTAGAGCAGGGCTGAGGGAAGAAAAAGAGGAAACCGTGCAGGAGGATGGCAGAATGGAAGAGGATAGTGGGAAGTGAGATGTTGGGTAAGAGCCTCCAAGGCAGAGTCTCGGGTGAAATAAAGGTGGATTGCAGGGATGGGTTCTGTATTAGGAAGCTCTTTCCAGTGTCTAACCTCAATCCTGCCTGCTGCACACCCAGCTCTATCCCATGTGTTTATTTCTTTTATTCTCAGAATTCAAGAAGGGCACAACGTGAAAGAAAGCACAAGGGGTATTTGTGACAGGCACAGAGGCTCTCTCCTTAACCTGTGAAGCCACCAGAGGGTGGCTTCCCACCCCCAACCACCTGATAGCCCTTGTCATGAGACCAAGCTGTGGGCAGTAGTAGCTTCAGGCCATATAGACAATCTTCCTTTCACAAGCTTATTTGTTATTCTTTTCCCACCTCTCCACCCCTTCCCCACCAGCTGCTTAAAATATTTTTCAAACAGAAAAATCCAACCACAGCTGGAAACCAACCCTAAAGTTAGTCCAGAACGTGGGAGCTGCCAGGGAAAATTGCTGGGGCACAGGCGGGGCTGTGGGAGGAAGAGCCTCAGCCACAGAGACAGGCCGCTCTGCAGGGGCCTGCAGGGGCACGAAGACCAGGGGAGAGGACACAAGAATCCCATGCTTGTTCCACAAATGGTCAGTAGGGCCCTGCACTGGGACGGTGCGGGACACAAATGGCCTTAGGGTATGACCCAGGCGCAAACTCTCTCATGACTACAACAGCAGACAAGATGGAATGTTTAAATGCTGGCGCTTTCTATTCAGTGACCTGTTTCAAACCCCTGCAAGAAAGGTACTACTATTATTATCCCTATCTTATAGAGAAAGAAATTGAGGCACACAGAAGGTAAGAAACTCTCACACCACCATACACCAAGGAAGCAGTGGAGTTGGGGGCTGGGCCCAAGGAGTTAGTGCAGTATCCACCTTGGTCGCTGGGCTGTTCTGCCTCTGAGCACTCAGGCAGGGTGAGACACAAGCTCCAGGACAGAAATGCAGCCAGCCCTGGCCTTCCATATCCAAAAGGGAGGATTTTAGGACTCTCCACTGTATGAAGACTAAAACCCAAGGATGCTCAAGTCCTTTAGTACTTACATATATAACCTGCACACAATCTTCCTGGATACTTCAGATATTCTTTAGATTACTTATACCTACTATGAGGTAAATGCTGTGGAGAGTTGTCATGCTGTATTGTCTAGGAAATAATGACAAGGAGAAAAGTCTGCATGTATTCAGAATCGATGAAAATTTTTTTAAAAAATATTTTTGGTCTGCAGTGGGTTGAATTCTCAGACACAGAACCCACGGATACTGAGGGCCAACTGTATTTGGAGAAAAAAAAAAACTGTGTCTGTACTGAATGTGTGCAGACTCTTTTCCTTATTATCATTCCCCAAACAATACAGTATAGCAATTATTTGCATAGCACTTACATTGCATTAGGTAGTATAATTAACCTAGAGATGGCTTGAAGTATACATAAGGACATACGTAGGTTACATGCAATTACTATGCCATTTCATATAAGGAAATTGGGCTTTCCTGAGTCTTGTATCTGCAGAAGTCCTGGAACTAATCCCCAGCAGACACTGAAAACCAAATGTGTAAACAATGGGAGAATTCAGAGAGAGATTGTCCCCAGTAGAGAGTCAGAGTTCCTCCAGGATCATCATGGAGAAGTCACAGAGCTGCATCTGGAAGGCTTCTGAGCCTCTACTCAGGGCAGGGACAAAAGCCATATAGCAAAGAAAGATAAAGCAGAGCAGAGACAGGACCCAAGAGGCCAGCATCCAAAATGTGGTGCCCACCATTTCAGAGTACCTACAGGGGACAGGACCCAGCCATGGTGGCACAGTGATTTACATTCATGTTCCCTCTCTCCAGTGTCCTGGCCTGCTTCTCATCTCCCTGGCACCTTCCTACCTGCTCAGTTCTCTCCCTCACTGTTTATCCAGGTCCCCTTGCAACCCTGTTCACAGAAGGGAAGACAAAAGCCCAGTGCTCCAAAAAATTAAGATTATAAAAATGTCTGTGACCTCTAATTTGACAGAAACCTCCAAACTATCTTGTTTGGAATGGGTGGGTCCAGCCAGGTGGTCTCACAGCCTTGAGCCCTAGGACCCCAGGAGACAAGGGGTAGGTTGGGGGACTGGACTCTTCCTCTCCCTGACTGTGTCTCCTTTCCTCTGTGAACTTTCCCAGGCATTTGGCACCTCTGGGCCTGTACTCTCTGGTTGGCTTTCTTTGTTCCTTTTCAGTCCTAAAAGGTCAGGGCACTCAGTACTCTTTTGCCACAATGACCTGCTGAATGGATGCCCAAGACTAACCAAAAAATGGTATCAGGAGTGCCAGGACACTAGTTCAGCCAGTCTCACATGTGCTCTCTGATGCAAGGTTCTGCTGCTGATAGAGAATCAGCATCGTGGTCACAGCTGACATGTACTGAATGTCTATTTCTTGACTGACACTACTCTAAAACTCAGCTAAAGGCTTTCATAGATCAACTTATTTACGTTTTTTTAAAAACCCCACCAATGAGGAAACTGAGTCAGGGAAAAATTAAGGATTATGCCCAAGTCATACAGCCAGTGAGGGGCTGAGCCAGGACTCATACCCAGGCCTCCAGGCTCCAGAGCCCGCTCTCTTAACCACCTGCAGGGTGCTGGCTGTCTCCGTCAGAGGGAAGTAGCTGGAGGGCAGGGACCATGTCCTGCCCATCACTGTGCCATGGAGCCCAACATCAGTCCTGGCACTGGTGGTACCTGGAACTAAAGCCAAGGCTCCTGGCAAATTGGGTTGGCCTTGACTGGAAGGGGGACAGGATGTGAATTCTCAAGAGTTGCCAGTGTCCAGGAATTTGTGCAAACGACCTCCCTTCGTGCTCATGATGTAATGGCTGAAGGAATTTAAGCCCTTTTCTGGCTCTGAACTAACTCAGCTCTAGTCATAGCCTCCAGCTGAGAGCATCTACCTGTTCCAAGGTGAACCTGGCCTGGGGGCATCCAGATCCCTTCCTGTCCCAGCAAACAAGATCAGGCCAGGCCATCCAGGGCCTGCTGCTGCAGGTGAACCAGCTTTGGGTGGGCTCCTTCTCTGATCTCAGCTGCCTCCTGAACCCTTCTGCAAAAGGGAACAAACAACCCCAAAGCTTCTGTGGGTTTTAAGAGGGCCCTTGAGTCTGGAGGCTGGCTGCTGGTCTCCTGCGCCCCCTGGTGGAAGGAAGAGAGATGCATCTTCCCTGCACAGAAGTCCCAAGCCCCCATGCCTCCCCAGCCTCCTCCCCTAAGTTCCCCTCTCTTCCTCTTGTCTTTATTCATTCATCCTAACTGAATTCTTGTCCACTAGGTGATGGGCACATGCCACATGACAGGGACACAGAAGATTGATGCTGTCCCTGCTCCAAGATACTTTCCAATCATTCACTCAACTCATTCATTCAACAAATATTTAAGGAGCTCCTACTGTCTGTCAGGCTTTTCTCAAAGCCCCCACAGAGTTCACAGACTAACAGGACATACAGCCTGGTGGAAAAACAGTGGCTATATGATGGGGGAGACTTAGGTGCTAGAGGGACCCCACCAGATAACCACAACAGAGGCCCTA